TTTTTAAACTGAGCATTAACACCTGCAGTGTGAATGTAGCCAGAAGTGTTCTGCTCAAATTCAAAGCAATATAAATATAAATGTGTGCATGTGCACAGCATATGACTATTGGTCAGTCTCGCTATCTGCTAATGACTGAACAAAAAGTTTATATTCACTTTCAGTACAAGAGAAGCGTATTATATCGCAGCCACTTTTTTGGTCATTATTTTCTACATGCCTACACTCAAAGAAATAAAAATTAAAAATAAATAAACTTCAGATTATGATTGGTTTTGACATTAGGAGCATCACAGCAGCAGACTTGTATAAATATATGAAAAGTGAAAATATGCCACTGAAGTGTGACTTTAAGAAGAAACAGTAGACATGTGATAAAACTTGTTAATTTAAGATGCCGTCTGGCTGATAAATTTCTTGCAGTAGTTCGAATATCCCTCCACAGCAGCAACCCTCCCACAGCACGACTTCCTGTTGAAAAGACGATACCTCCTCCCTTCCTTTATCTGTTCCGTTTCCTGTTTTCTCTCTATTGCCCCCCTCCCCAGTCCTGCTTTCTTTTTGTTTCACCTAGGCTATTCTCTTATGAGATGCTCACACACTTTCTCTTCCATCCCACCTTCGCTTCTTTTTCAGATTCCCTCGCCTTTCTTCTCTCATTATCTGCACCAGGGCTGAACCAGAGTAGAGTTTTGCTTCAAGGGGCTTTTCACACACCTGTTGCATGACATGATTTAAAACCGAGGATTTTAAAGAAGCATTGTACGTTGTATTTTTAGCATGTAAACAGTACAATGGCTTCAGATTTGTGCAGGTTTTAAACAAAAAAAAAATGCTTCTGTCACTTTTGACAAACATGGCTAAATGTTTCAATGTCATGAATTTGATCTGCATGCAGGTGGGAGAACTTTGTGAGAATGCCTTATTCTTCTGTTGGCATTGTTGTGTGTATGAGACAATACACACAAATCCTGGTTTCTTGACTTCTCCACTCATGGCTAATCTCCTGAGTGTCTGACCAACATGTCAAGAAAACCTGGAATCTGTAAAGATTTAACCTTTTTTTCTTCCCCTGTGCAGAGAGGCATAGAAGAAAAAAGCTTTATTAAAATCTCTTAGATGAATGTAGATGTAATGAAAACAATTTGGGCTTTAGGTCTGTTTTAACTGATTATTACAGTGTGAGACGGTGTAATCGATATAAATAGATACAGCAAATGAATTATTTATTCCGGGTATGGAGGTAGTAGATTGTAGTGCAGCAGGCTAAACCAGAAAACAACCTGAGAAAATAAGTTTGGACAAGATTCTCAGCAAAAAGACAGATTCACAGATATGTTTGAAAGGTTTTATGCCTGGTCCAAATAGAGGGAATTTCACAAGATCGAATATTAAAGGAGACATATCATGCAAAATCAATTATTTAGCCCTTAAATGCAATTTGTTGTGCACTTGGAGTCTCTAGGAGTGCAGAAAATTTTAATTAGTCTCTCCTAGTGCTGCATAGATGTATTTATATTCTGTTTGGGTCATTTTTTCAATCCCTTTAGTTTTTTTTATTACGTATTTTGAATAATAATGTCAGTTTTTGCCGCGGAACTTCTAAAAAAGTGAATAGACTTCCGACTAACCAATTTTGCAAATTCGTGGTTCTGCAAGTTCGTCGTCTTCATTCTCCTCTGACTCTGGGTCAGACTCTGGCTCCAACATGTAAAGCTGGATGGACAAGTCTTCCGTTGTTGATATATTTTAATCAGTTTGTAAATAAAATGTTTCTGCATGGCTAGATAATCAAAGCTCTATCAAACTACGAAAATGGCTGAACAGGGTGGAGAGGACAATGATCATTGTGAGTAATGCTGCTTTCAAGTTCTACTTGGAGGTAGGAATTTCTGACTTCTGAGTCAGAAATATCATCGGAAACAGCCCCTAATGTCGCAATTTTGAGTCGGCAGGTCTGTGCAACATGACCATACCTGAGCACGCGTGACATCATTGTACTATGATGTCTACTTTTCAGTCATACTTGTAGTATTTTATAGCAATTGTTAGGCGACATGTTTTAACACTGTTTATACACTCAAAATACAGCATAGAGTGCTATTGTAAATGTTATTGTTGCAATATTCCATCAAAACAAGAAATAGAAACACAATTTTTCCGATGTTCTGACCAAATGGAAATTGGAACGCTTTCAACTCAAACCTGAGATCAGTCTGACTTCACAAGTTTGAGGTCTGCTGCTACTGGAACACAGCATAAGACCTGGATGGGGGCGGAGTGTGAAGGGCTTCATTTACATTCAAAGAGACAGCACCAAAACGAGCTGATCTCAGCTGCATCTCAGAAAAGGGGTGAAAGAGGGGCTTGTGGAGTTACAATAACCACCCGCTTCGGATGTTGTCATTCGTTAAATGGACGTTGTCAGTCCCATAGAATGGCTTCAGACTGTCAGCTGTTTAGTATGAGGCATAAAACCACTAAGGTTTTTTTCATGTAATCTGGTTAGTATGAGGCATAAAACCACTAAGGTTTTTTTAATGCAATCTGGTTAATATGAGGCATAAAGCCATTTAGGTTAAATTTAGAGAAAATGACATGGGCTACAATAAAGTAGACCAGACTCCGGCGGTAGCAGTTGCATTCCAACGTATATGGCACTGGTAACTCACTAGGGGGCACTGTCAGGACAGTCTGAAGCCATTCTATGGGACTGATAACCGCTAATAAATGTCCATTTAATGGACTGATAACATCCGAACCGGCTGCAATAACCAGGAATTCAGACTGAAGCATTGCAGTTCTACTTTATATAAACCCAAACTGAATGATTTAGATGTGAAAAGGAGGATTTAAAAGCATGATATCTCTCCCTTAAAAAGAAGACTCTGAAAACAGATTTCCAAAACATTTACTTATATGAAAGTTCTAAATTGGTTACTCACATTTTGTTTGGCCAAATAAATAATAATAATAAATGACATGGATTTGTTTAAAATTATCTTGTTGAATCTTGTCTTGCAAAGCCAAAAGAACCTAATCAGCTGATAGAAAGTGTTCCTGCTGTGTTTATTTTGAGATGTATGATGTAATGAGGATGTAAAGCAAACATTAAACTAGATGTACTTTGATAGAAAACATGTAAGAGGATGTAAAACTTGCCTCGTACATTGCAAATGTAACAAACAGGTCACTAGAAACCCTAATTAGTTGTCAAGGAAGCAGGAAAATGGGTGTGAAAAGTTTAGGTGTGTGCGTTAAAGAGTAGGTGAGGTATTTTATATGTCACGTAAATCCAACTTGCTGTCCTTCCTTCTTTGTCTGTCTCTCATATAGATGTATTTTTTCCTCTTTCTCCCGAACACTCTCTCTCTCTCATCTTGTGTTTGTCTCTATCAATGTGTGTTTCTGTGTCTTTCCATGTGTTTTTTTTTATCCTCCCTTCCCTTTACTCCTCTGTCTTTCTGTCTGTCGCCGTCACTGACTTTTGCTGTCACTACGTTCGGTGAAACTGGACAGGAGCAGCACCCGGTAAAGTTCCTCCTCTGTCCTCTCGCGCTCTGTTTCCTGCTCTCAGTAACCGGATCAAGTTGGCTACTCTCTCTTTCTTTCTTTCTTTCTTCCTTTTAATCATATGTAGTCATTCTCGCCGTTTTGTTGTGTGATCTTTTTTCCTCATCATGCACAAAAACACAAAGTAACCCTCTAAACCACATGTATGGGGTGATTTTTCCTCATTCAAATTAGTTTAATTCTTTGTTCAGCCTATTAGTAAATATATTTTTTGAGATGTCATTTATTTAACTCCATGTACTTAACAACTATGTTGATTCGGTCGATTTGGTTCAATTCATCTAAGATTGTGATGATTTTAAAGAAATTTAAACCGACTTTGTTGAATCAGTCATATGTCAAACATGGAAAGTCCTGCCAATCAAAGTCAAGTGATCTTTATCTATTCTGCATAATCGTCTATCAGGGCAATGCTTTAAAATTGTTAGAGCAAATAGAATTGACTCTTTTGTCAAAATTAAAGAAGTTTATGAATGCCAATGTGTTGTCTCATGAAGAGAAAATTACCTACTTTATGTTAGAACTATAGTGGTTTACTTTCTGAGACAGATGCATATTTTATGCAAAAACCATATATGGTGGAATGATAAAATTTTATATATAT